CCTTTTTTTTTTTTTTTTTTTTTTGGGGGGGGGGGGTCTCTTTTCACCTCCATCATTCATTTTTCTAATGGTGCTGTTCATTTTCTCAGAAATTTTAAATTATTCTTAAATGTGCATTAATGGAACATCAGTGATTTTAATCCCTTGACATTTATGTACCAAATATCTTTCTCAGTTATCCTCTATTTATATTTTAATGAAGTAAAGGTCATCTTTCCACTTTTTCTCACTTTATCTACCTGAAAAATGGACATAATAATATCTGTTTCTTAAGGATTTTTTTCTTTTTTAAATGAGCAGACAAGCATTTAAAACAGCACAGGATAGTGGTGATGGTTATACAGCACTGTGAATGTAACTGCCACTGAATTTTACACTAAATATGGTTAAAATGGTAAATTTTGTTATGTATATTTTACCACAGTAAAAAAAATAAAATAGCACCTGATACATAGTAAGGATTCTTGAAATAAATATGGCATTTACTACTCTGTACTATAATAGTTCGATGAATTATCTATAACACCTTTAACTAAAAGCTTCATGTGAATAGATACATCTAGTGTGTTCAGCATTTGTAGCTCTGACACAAAGGAGGTCCTAAAGAAATACTTGTCGAGTGAGGTGTCTAGCAATGGAATAGGCAGCCTGAGAGATGGTGACTTCCTTGTTAGTGTAATTATTTTAGCAGAGGGTAAAATAATCACCTATCAGTGATGTGTCAGAATATGTCTAATACGTGACAGGACTAGTAAAACTGTCTAAATTTCTTTGTAATCTATGGTTGCATTATTCTGTTTATCTCCTGCTTTACTATGGAAATTTTCATAATCTAACAACAGTACCAGCATAATAAAGGAATTTCACCTTTCAGCACTTGCCATCTTTACCCCTAAAATAGGCTCTGGTCATAGTAAAATACTCTTAGCCTTTTCCGGTCTTCTGGCATATGTATTACATGCCTTTTCCTTTATTTCAAATACACTCTTTCACCTACCTGTGTTCTTTACTTTCTTGGCATCACCACATTCTCTAGAAAGGCTTTGTATTTTTCACATGGTATAAAAGTTACCGATTTGCTAGTTTTCTAAATTGTGAGCTTCTTGGAAGCAGGGTCTGTGTCCTGTCCACCAGTCATTGTCAACCTTCTAAAACATTGCCTGGTAATAAATATTTACTAAACAACTAAAGGAATTAATGAAACCATCTTATGAGATCTATTGCTTTCAAGTGTGTATACCATAGATAATTTTTAAAAGCTCATTTCTTTTCAGATATTTTGGCCAACCAGTTACAATGCTTTCTTTGCAGCAAAATTCAGTCCCGGTGTCAATGATATTGACTATCTCCTTAATGCTATCAAACACAGTATGTTATATGCGAATGGGACCCCCAAAGAAATACGTGCTTTTATTTTATGCCTAGGACTTTACATTCTTCAAAGTAAGTTTTCTAGAGCAAAATGTTTGGAGGGAAAAAGCACAGGCCAAAATCTGCTAGGGCGCTAGTCATTTCTGTCTGAAAGAAGAAATGAAAACAAATATAAGTTCTTACCTACTGTGAGCTGGACGACTTGTCAGAGGAGATGATTATTGATATTCCAGGTTGTCTATAAAGTTCTGGTGAGAGAAAATATGGAAATATTTTAAGCTCATGAGAATTTTATGATCCCTAATTTAACCCCTCCATGTGGAGCTTCCAATCTTCCATTTATTTTACGATCTCCCGCCAAGGATCATTAAAGCACTAAGAGAAAATCTCAACGAAGTCCCCCTTACGGAGGATATTTTTCAGTCCGTGATGAAAATGAAGAGCACGTTCTGCGTTAAATTCCCAACTCAAGCCCGGCCGGGCGTGGCTCAGCGGTTGAGCGTCCCCCTAGGATCCCGGCGATCGGGGTTCGATTCCCGGCCCGGGCACATGCCCGGGTTGCGGGCTCGATCAATGACTCTCTCGTCATTGATGTGTCTATCTCTCTCTCTCCCTCTCCTTTCCTCTCTCTGAAATCAATAAAGATATATTAAAAAAAAAAAAAATCTCCCAACTCAACAGGTAAGGGAGTGGAAAAAATAATACTTTTCATCAATACCACAGAAGAATGACCATTTACCCTTGCATAATTAGAAGGTTCCTCAGGCACGTTCATTATACATTCAGCAACCGGCATTTACCGTACGGAGGGCTTATTAACAAACGAGGACACATCATTTGGTATCAGACACCAGCCCCGGATAAGATCCGGCCACACGGATTCGTTCAGTGAACCGCCGGCATTCATTTGACTGAAGCCTCCCACGAGTTCCCACGGCCAACAGTCGAGGCCCACTTTCCCCACGGCGCTTCCGCGCCGGCCTAGCTCCGGCTCCGGCTTCCGGCGCCTCTCCGCACGGGGCGGGGCCGACCTCCGCGGCGTCGCCCAGGAGATTGGCAGGTC